GACCTTACAGTCTTCCCTTGGTTCCTGATTGCTTATAATAGGTCTGTGGCCATTGTGATAATATATCACAAGTTTAAAAGCTATTGGAGACTGTGAAAATTATGTTGCTAGGTACATAAATACCGTTGACTAGGAACTATATAATAACACATGCACGCATGTTCACACATCACACATCTAGTCCTTCCGTAAAGAAGTTTACGACTTAATTGAAATGACAGTATAATAGAGGAGACATTTTTTGGTGAATAACTGTTCAGTCAGTGGTACAGAGAGTAGGTGCTCTGGGTTAAACAGAAGAGTGGGCATATTCAAAAGAGACTTCTGGGAAGAGATAGAAAAGGGACAAAATTTTGTAGGCTGAACAGAAGTTGGAAAACCAGAGAGGTTGGAGAATGTGAACATGGTATTACCAAAGGCGTGGAGGTGTGAAATCCCCATTTGTTCAGGATTTCATGATTTACCAAGAGAACTAGTGGGAAATAAGGATAGAAAAAGATGGCAGAGCTGGAGTAGGATGGACCAGCCCTGCCAAGCACAAGGTAATTGAAGATTGGGACCCTGCAAGCCCACCTCACCTCATTCTACCAGAGAGTAGAAACGAAGTCATTCAGTATCCCCTGTCCCTCATCCTCTTACCTCAAGGCGGGTTAGGGATTAGGCCTCAGCAAAGAGTTTGAAGATAATATGTCAAGCTGGGAAGCTGTTGTGTAGTCTTGGAAAGGGAGTGTTACAGTTTTAAGATTAGTGCTTTTGCCACATGGATTTTCACCACCCCTCTCCTCAACTGTAGGACATATTCCTGAGTTGTTTCTCATAGTGGATCTGCGAAAGAGCCACATATTTTCTTCTCCCTTCATGTATACCTACTCAGCAACCCCCCAAACCTGCACCCGACCATTGACTTTTTACCCCCCACTTTTTTTTTTTAAGATTTTATTTATTTATTTGACACAGAGAGAGAGAGAGAGAGTAGGCAGAGCAGCAGGCAGAGAGAGAGGGGGAAGCAGGCTCCATGCTGAGCAGAGAGCCTGATGTGGGCCTCAATCCCAGGACCCTGGGATCATGACCAGAGCTGAAGGCAGAGGCTTAACCCACTGAGCCACCCAGATGCCCTTACACCTCCCACTTCTTTATAGTCCGACATCTACAGGATGCCAGCCTGGTCAGGATAGCACGTATCCACTTGTGGGACAGAAGGAAACTAGTTAGTCTGTTTAAAACTTGAACTTATACCCCTGGACTTCTGGCCCAGTGTTCCTTGGCCCAAATGCCAAGTGAATGTTTTTGTGGAGACTGTTTTGAAGATTTGGTTAAATAAGAGGAACATACCACCAAGAAATGTTTCTATTAACAACAACAAAAAAGGCAAAATAGAACCTAGGCCTGGGAGTTCTGAAACCAGAACATTCTAGGTTCAAATTTCACCTCTTCTATATAAAACAGGCCTAGTTACTAGTTCCTTGCTAGGTTGTTGTAATGGTTAGAAATAGTATACATAAAGCACCTGGCTCACGTGCTTTACACTCCGTAAAGGGTAGACGTTATTAATAACATCTCCAATTTATAGAAGTTCCTCCTCCTGAGTTGGAGGTTTGCTATATTGTGCTGGTTCCGTGAGGTGGTTTTAAATTAAGGTGGCGGCTGTGGATGGATGCTAACTCCTTCAAGCAGCATTCTCTGCAAGCAGTGATCACATGAGGCCGCCTGGCAGGGGCAGGCCCTGTGCAGACTGAAGCTCACAGTCACTGACAGGAAAAATCTTTTTATTTTTTGCTTTGCGGGGAAGGCGGTGCTGAAAGCTTTCTTCCTTTGGGAAATCAATTTCACTGTGCAGAGGATCTCAGTGAGTGGGGTCATACTATTGCTTTTCTGCAAGAGAGACATTTCTGCTTTTATTAATCATGGAACTGACATGAGATTGGTAGAATTTGTAAAAGAAAATAACTTGTTTAGTCTCCTTTTTGACGCACCTCTTGCCTTCCAGAGGTTAAGAATGAAGAAGGGATTTTTATCTTCCAGTCTGGAAGCCAGACCCTCTTCAGGTTTATAATAAGCAGCCTCATGTCCTTGGAGACCTGCCGTATATGAATTTTAGGAATAAAAGAAATTCTTAGATTTTTGTTGGCTGTCATTTGGAAGGCAAAGTTACAAAGCCATAGTGCCAAGAGTCCCTAAAATAGCTGTGCGTGTAATTATGGGGCTAGACACTTCCTCGTCACAAGCATGAGAACATGTCCTTCTTGGAGTTGAATCCAATATGAGGGACTGTTGGTGTGGATGGATGATGAGAGGCTTTTATTCTACACTGGGTTTCCTGACGTATAGAGGACCGCTCACCTTAACATAGTGAGATACAGTAAGAGGTCAACATGAAATAGTTATCTTGGGAGAGCGGAGTGTTGGTATTAGTATTACCTCTTTTTACAAAATTATTGATAGTTTCTGTCAATAGCAGCCATTCCTCATTCTTTTGAAATTGGTTTGAACACCTATTTCCCCTCTCCTGCTGCCTCTATACATATACATATACATATACACATATATGTATACATACATACCTATCAGGCATGCATATATATGTGTGTGCAATATATGCTCATGTATATGCCTGCAAGCTTCTTACACACAGCATTGTAGGAAGTGAAGTGCAGACTCATGGAGTACCATGATGGGGCAGCAGCTCCCTCCGTGCACGTAGGAGGCTAGAGCGAATTGTGGCCCATTTTTTGCTCCTGCTGAGGAGTGTTCGCACCACTAACCAAGACACCTCTAGGGGGCAGCAGAGCACCAACTAAAACTACTGCGCCCCGGGGTTGTCAGGCTTTTCTGGCTCATTGTCTAGCCCTTCTAGGTCCATGATATAGCACCCACCTTCTCCCCTTGCCCCAGCAAAATTCATCCTCTTGGCCTTGCCAGGCTATGGTCCACTTGCCTCCATTCAGTCCCTGCCCCACACTCAAACTCTCCTGGTCTACTTTATAGTGTATCGTCTAGCTTAATGCTGGGCCATGTTTGCACCTGTCCTTTTTGGTGGATCAGTGTTTCAGGTCTCTAGGTTTCCCAGAGTGCCAAAACTGCCCTGGAGGCCTGCATAAATGCTTGACAGCAGCTGGAGGATCCTGTAATCTGTAGTGAGCACTTGATACGTGTTTGTGAATACAGTTGCCTGGATGGTCTTGTTTTTGCACAAGAGAAGGCATTTTATTTGCTTCACTTATTTCTGAAATGGCTACTTTCTCACGTGCGCTCTGGTTTTAGATTGGAGGGTATGATGTGGGTGTGGTGGAGAGCATGAATTTTGGGGCCGTAGTTGCAGGATGGCTCCTCTCCTTCCTGGTTGCGTGCCTTGCTCAAGTTAACTTCCTAGCCTCCGTTTTCTAGCCTACAAAAATGGGCCTTTTTAAGCTGATCGTATAATTTTATCTAAACTGGAGCACATTTGAGAGTGAAGGAGTATATTTAAAAATACCCATCCTATAGTTTTTTGAAATATTTATTGACTGAGAAGTGGTTTTCATTTTTATTTTTTTAGACTTCTCTGTAAAATTGTTCTATTCAAAAATGGTTTTCAAAATAAGATTTCCTACAAAATATTAATACACAAATTGTATATTGTAAACTGACTGGCATACTGGAACAGCAGGTGTAAACCATGTGGTGCTTCAAAGAATCAAAGCACGTAATGTGTGTGAAGTGTGTAGTGCTGTGCCTGGGACACACTGTATATTCAGGAAAAGGAGATTTCATTTTCCTTCCTGGAAGAAGGTTGAACAAAGATGCACTCACCACAGATCAAAGACCTCTGGGTTTTTTTTAAAAGGCTGCTTCCATAAGTGACTCTTAATCTCACAAAACAAACTGAGGGTTGTTGGGCAGAGGGGGGTTGGGAGGGGGGGTTATGGACATTGGGTAGGGTATGTGCTATGGTGAGTGCTGTGAAGTTTGTAAACGTGGAGATTCACAGACCTGTACCCCTGGGGGGAAAAAAAAATATATATATATATATGTTTATAAAAAATAAAATTATAAAAAAAAAAAAAAGGCTGCTTCCAGGAGGCTTTTCTCCTAGCTCTCTAGATTCTACCAACCCAAGGTGTGAGTTTTGCCCAACCCTAGCTGGAAAATACCAATTAAAGTCCTGCTTCTGTGCAGTCATAGAGCTGCCTCAGCGGTAGAGAGCAGACCCTGGGGATGCTGTGCATTCTGGGTAATAATTTGGCTGACCTGTGAGCACAGAGCTCTTCCCTTCACTTGCAAAGTCACTACTCCTTCTGGGCAACTTGCCTGGGAAGCCTGAGCAATGGGTCTTGGCACCCCTGTTCTGCATCTAGCTCCTGCTACTTAGGAGCTTTTTTTAAAAAAGATTTTATTTATTTATTTGACAGACAGAGATCACAAGTAGGCAGAGAGAGAGGAAGAGAAACAGGCTCCCCGCTGAGCAGAGAGCCCAATGTGCGCTCCATCCCACGACCCTGGGATCATGACCTGAGCCGAAGGCAGAGGCTTTAACCCACTGAGCCACCCAGGTGCCCCTACTTAGGAGCTTGATTGCAACAATTGTGCTTAAATATTGGGCTTACCATAAACATAATAGTTTGAGCTGTAAAATCTATACCTGTCTTGAAGGTTGGTGTACCCATGTAATTGGAAGCTTAATTGTCCTTCTGTGATTAGGCTTCCAGGGCAGGGCACACCCCTTTTAGAAACTAAATTCACCACGCCTCACCCTGTCTCTCGTAAGTGCTATTTTGCTCTGGTAATGAGAGCTCTTGAGCCTGTGCGTTCGTTTAACCTCAAGCCCCTCAGAACTGAGGCTTGTGTTTTTGCCCGTTGCTGGTGTGTTGGAGAATGCAGGGAGTACTCTGTGGCTCCCGGGAACCAGGGAAGGAGTTCCACATGGTCGCTAGCAATGTGTGACAGGAGAACCAAGGGCAGAAGCCGGTGGTAGCGAAGAGACAGCCCACTGCATGGCTCCTAACCGCCTCTTCTTTCTCTAGGTATGTGTACATTCCAGTAGGCGGGTCCCAGCACGGCCTCCTGGGGACACTGTTTTCCACCGCAGTGACGTTTGCCTTTGTGAGCTTCTGGCATGGTGGCTATGACTATCTCTGGTGCTGGGCGGCCCTCAACTGGCTGGGAGTCACCGTGGAGAATGCAGTCCAGAGGCTTGTACAGACCCCGTGTGTCCGGCACAGCGTGGTGAGCAGGTGGTTGGGGACAGCTGAGCCAGGTGGACTGGCCATGGGGGAAGGCAGTCATCAGATTCACCCCAACATGGGTCATTCTTGCCAGATGGGTTCAAAGAGTATGTGCCCAGAGCTAGCAGGGGTTTTGTTTGTTTGTTTGTTGTTTTCTGTTTTACATAAGTGTTTCAAAGCAATGCATGCCTATTGCACAAAAATAAGAAAATTCACATAAGAGGAAAAGAAAAATACCTCTTTAACAAAAACTGTTACAACTATTCTAACTTTTTCTTTATATATATATGCACACATGTATAACGTTTAAGACAAATGCTGTTATTCTAGAGACATGGATGTATGAGGACCACCTTTCTATGTCACCAAATCCATTTCTAACAAGCCCTTTTAATGGCCACATAGAACTCCATTATGTGGCTATGCCATCATTGGCAATTGTGTCATTCCAATTTTCTTTGCAGTTGTCAGTCCAAATGGAGATGAGTATCATAACCAGAACGAATTCTTATATGTAAAATTGCTAAGTAAAGGTTTTCCTCACCCCTTTCTGCCTTGCATACAGCTTCACCCTTCCTTAACCGCTCTACAGTCAAAGTGTACCAATTTACTTTCCTACCAACAGTGTACAAGGATGCCCTTGCCAGTACTGAGTAGTGGTGGCATTTTTAATCTTGGCTAATTTGATAGGTACTGTTACTGTAGCATAACCCCCCCCCCACACACACACACACACAGCTAAGTGCTTAAGACACATTCTGATTCCACAGGAAAATGATTTGGAAAATTAGGCATTTTATACACATAGGGTACACCAATGTTTTATCATATAAAATTGATATACAGTGTATTAGAATCTTGTAGGAAATTGTCAGTTCTTAATATGCAGCAGTATTCTGATACCCCTGAAAAACGTGGCTAAGAAGAATATGCTGTCATCAGTGTTCACGGCAGGCAATAAAACACAAGAAATTTACTGAGCAGTGATTAATGTGCCTAAGCTCCCCTAGTATATGCAACTAAAGCAAATATATTTCAGAAGCCCAACACCACCAAATAGAATACATAGAATAGAAGATTAATCATTTTTTTCCTATAAAAATAGCCATAGTAAAAGTAGACCGTTATTTCAATAAAAACTGATACAAAGCACATAGCAAAATAATACATCTGAAGGAATTTAAATATGCTCATGTATGTTTAAAGATAAATATTTTATTCAGTAGTAGTACCCAGCAATCAGCAGGAAAGAAATGTCAGTGAATCTCAATAGAAAATGGAATTTCAATGATAGTCATAGCTATGTAGCACAAAGAAAAACCACAAAAGGTGGTATCATCAAGGTTTCAATCTCCATCTTCCAAAGCCTGAAACCCAATTATTATCTGTGAAAGTCAGAGAATTCTTTTCAGCCTAGGCTGAAGCCCTGTAACACATCTCCACATTCCTTCATGAAGGGTCTAAAATTAACCTTGAACTTAATGGTAAGCACTGCTCTGTAGACTTTGAGCCATGGCTTATGTTATTGACAAATATTAAAAATCTAAAATGTTAAAGGAATAACCAAAATTGTGCTATCTGGCCTATGGCTTGTTAATTTTGGTTAAAAATTAAGACAGTGGAAACCCTACTGACAGGAAGCACGTTACTGCTCTGCCTCATCACACTCGGTCCAGGACCCTCATGTGTTTGACTCATTTGAGCTTCCATCCACAAATCACACACCTAAGTGTATAGTAACTTTTGAGTGTGCCTTTTTTGGTGAGATGTATATCTTGTGTATTATGAAATGGTATTTAGGGTACATATTTGTTGAGCGAGAACATATTTTGCAAAACCTATTTTTTTTTTAGATTTTATTTATTTATTTGACAGAGATCACAAGTAGGCAGAGAGAGAGGCAGAGAGAGGAGGAAGCAGGCTCCCCACTGAGCAGAGAGCCCAATGTGGGGCTCGATACCAGGACCCTAGGATCATGACCCAAGCTGAAGACAGAGGCTTTAACCCACTGAGCCACCCAGGCGCCCCGTGAAACCTATTTTATCATCTTCTATTTGGGCAGCCTGGTAGTTGGTTGTGGCTATGCAGTTGAGGAGCTCTTTGAGTATGAGATCAGGATTCCATTACTGTTTATATCCCCAGTGGTTAGCTCAGTGTCAGAGTTAGCCACAGTGTTAAGTCTGTGCACAATTGGGTTGATTCTTTTTTAAATTCAGTTAGCCAACATATGGCACATCATTAATTGCAGAGGTAGAGTTCAGTAATTCATCAGTTCCATGTAACACCCAGTGCTCATTGCATCATGTACCCTCCTTAATGCCCATCACCCAGTTATCCCCCCCACCCCCCTCCCCTCCAGCAACCCTCAGTTTGTTTCCTAGAGTTAAGAGTCTCTCATTGTTTGTCTCCATTTCTGATATCTTCCCATTCAGTTTTTCCTCCCTTCCCCATGATTCTCTATGCTATTTCTTCTACCTACATGTGAGTGAAACCATATGATAATTGTCTTTCTTTGATTGACTTATTTTGCTCAGCATAATACAATTGGGTTGATTCTTTAGTTGTTCTTCCACTTGTCCACCCAAAGACTTTTCTTCCATTATTCTTTTTCTTATAGAGCTCAGCATAGATTCTGTTTTCCTTCAAAAACACAGGGCTGGCATTCCAAATATTGTGTAAACTTTTGAATAAACTGTTTCCCCACTTGGGTCATTCTCTTTCCCTCTCTTTTCATGAATCCATTCCCCATTCTTTTTTTTTTTTTTTAAAGATTTTATTTATTTATTTGACAGACAGAGATCACAAGTAGACAGAGAGGCAGGCAGAGAGAGAGAGAGGGAAGCAGGCTCCCTGCCGAGCAGAGAGCCCGATGTGGGACCCGATCCCAGGACCCTGAGATCATGACCTGAGCCGAAGGCAGCGGCTTAACCCACTGAGCCACCCAGGCGCCCTTCCCCATTCTTTTATCTTAATCCAAATGAAGACTTAATATCTCCTTAGCACCTAATTTCCTCTGACATTAGTTGTCCATGATTGATCTGATAGTATTTTTACAATGTGAGTTCACCTCTCCCACAGGCTGCTCATACACTCTCTCCATGGCATTAATCCTTCTTCTGTTTTTTTAAAGGTAAGTAGAAAGATCCTTGAGTAACAAGGATGATCATATCTTCTTGTCCCATATTTTTTTTTCAGCACAAAATAAAGTAGGATTTCTCAGTGTTAATGGAATGGCAGTTGAACATTCACCAGAAGGCTAATCAGAGCTGGGTGTTGTGGGAAGCGTTCTGGTGTTCTAGGCAGGGCTGTCCAATTGAACTTTCTGCGGTAATGGATATGTCCAGTGTAGGAGTCCCAAGCCACACTGAGCACTTGAAATGTGGCTAGCATCACCGAGAAATGAATTTTTAAATGTATGTAATTTTAATTATATGTAAGTAGCCCCCATATGGCTGGGGGCTTCCATTTTGACTAGTGCAATTCTAGAACATACCCCCATCCAGAAAAAAATGTAAAAGAATGTAGATTGTGACTATAATTTTAAATGGTGTTCATTAATGACGAGGTACTCGTATATCCAATGGCTACTGAGATGTTGCATTCTTGTGTATCTCACAGATATCTCAGACTTAGCATGTGTAATACTGAACTCGCATAGCCCATCCCCCTATAATTCCAAGTAGCTCCATTCCCTCTAGCATTCTCTATTTCTAGAAAAGTCATCCTCAATCTAGTTACTCAAGACCAAAACCAGCAAGTTACCCTTTATACTTTCTGTCCCTCAGTTCTACCTGATAGAATACTGTATATTCTATCTCCTAGGTAGATCTTATTTTTAAACATTATTTCCATTTCTGCTAAGTCATCCTAATCTTACTATTCTTATTTCTTGCCCAGTCTACCAGATAGTTTGTAACTAGTTTCCCTGATCCCATTTTTTGTCTTTTTAAATTCATTATCCTCACAGTGCTGAGTGATGTTGCTCATTGAAAACCTAACCATGTTGTTATCCTTCTTAAAATCCTTAGCGGTATCCCATTATTTTAGGACTAAGCCTGCCAATATTTAAGATGACCTATGAGGCCCTGCCTGATCTTGAACTTGGTATGTATTTGCTCTCCCCATCCTCTCTGCTCCCACCCCCCACTTCACACTGTGTTCTTCCTTTTCTTCATTTGCACATCTTGCCCGTCCAGCCTCAGAACCCCCACATGGGCTCGTCCATCTTCTAAGATGCTGTCTCTCCTCTTCCTCTACCTCTTTATCCTTCAGATTGCAGTTCAAGTGATATCTTTGTCCTCCTCTGACCCTCCTGAGTCAATCAGGTCCTGATTAACAAATCATTTTGGGCACCTTGTTTTGTTTAATTTTTTTTATTATGTTATGTTAGTCATCATATAGTACATCATTAGTTTTTGATGTAGTGTTCCATGACTCATTGTTTGTGTATAACACTGAGTGCTCCACGAAATACGTGCCCTCCTTAATACCCATCACCGGGCTAACCCATCTCCCCACCCCGCTTCCCTCTAAAACCCTCAGTTTGTTTCCCAGAGTCCATAGTATCTCATGGTTCTTCCCCCCCACCCGCCACCTTCATTTTCCCCTTCCTTCTCCTATTGTCCTCCATGCTATTCCTTATGTTCCACAAATAAGTGAAACCATGTGATAATTGTCTTTCTCTGCTTGATTTATTTCACTTAGCATAATCTCTTCCAGTCCCACCCATGTTGGTGCAAATGTTAGGTATTCATCCTTTTGATGGCTGAGTAATATTCCATTGTATATATGGACCATATCTTCTTTATCCATTAATCTGTTGAAGGGCATTTTGGCTTCTTCCACAGTTTGGCTATTGTGGACATTGCTGCTATAAATACCTGGGTGCATGTGGCCCTTCTTTTTCACTACGTTTGCATCTTTGGGGTAAATACCCAGTAGTGCAATTGCTGGGACATTGGGTAGTTCCATTTTTAAAATTTGAGGAACCTCCACACTGTT